TTTGAGGAAAAGAAAGAATGAGTTTCAAAACATACAAAGAAACTTTGAATAATAATAATAATATTCTACCTATTAGACTAGCCAAATCTGTCTGGAGGCAAACCCACTGTATAGGGCTAGAAGAACCACTGCAGGAAGCCTGCTGTGGAACAAATCCCAGCTTGATTAAACATGGCAAGTCAACTATTGATAGACAAATCAAATACATACTTACAAAACACATGGCATATGCTGCTTGTACGTGCTCACAGGGACAAGCAGATAAGATTATCTGGTTGTGAAAGGATTATCTACCCCCTCCCCCCCCCCGCCCCAAGAGGTAACATTATCTACCCCATCCCCCCCCCGCCCCGAGAGTAAAGAATCACACAGTTATAGATAGCTTTTGTAAAATCTTTGAGATTTTTCAGAGTGAAATTTTCAGTGAAAGGGTTTCTTTTTGAGCTACGAACGTGCATTGTACAGGCCCAGCCTGGCAGGCTGCCTTGACCCTTTAGCTGAGACTTCCAGTGATAACACCAGATTGCACCAGCCTCTCCTGGACAAAGGTACTTGCTCCAAACCCACCCACTTTGTGCAGCCATGTGATAGCAACATACTGTAGCTGCTGCATCTCTAGCTAGGACTGAACCAGTGACTGAAAGACCATTTGAATTCTTCTCATGCAAAAAATTCTGAAGTGAACCACAAATTGCCTGGGAAGAAGTGAGGCAGGGAACAACTTTTTGTCACAATTGAACCAAGACGTAACTCCTTCTTTCCTCATCTAAGCTGATATGTGGGTTTGTTTTTTTTTTAAAGAGCTACAACTGACATAGAAAATAAAAAAGTCTCTTCATCCAACAGAAATCCTAGAAGGCAGCTGAGCAGTCCTGACAAACATGAAATATTCTGCTAAAATATCAAACTAAACAAAAAGATAACAAAGGCTGAAGTGGGCTAGACAGTCTAGCATCACTATCTGGAAAATAACTTGGCACCCAGGTCCACAGCTACATCCAAACAGAGAGATCAGCTCTGTTTGCTACATCAAACATGGCTCGTATTTTTTTTGTCTCTTCCTCTCTCTTCAAACATAAATAGTTCCAGGCTTTTAAATAAATTAGCTCAACTTTTGTTATACAAACTGTTTCATTTTTTCTCCAAAAAGGGAATATAGATGTTTGTTTAAAAATTGTAAATAAAATATAAATGGAGACTTTCCATTGCATAGTGATCCTTTCCAGTAGGTACTGATCAGTGCTACATCCATTTTTCTTCCTTATCCTGTACTTGGAGACCACTGTACTTATTACAGAAGCAAAATAACAATCAGGTTTAAAATACACAGAAAATAAATGCAACAAAATTACTTACCTTGACTTATAATTTTTGTTTTTAAAAAAGCCTACCTTCTGTATATGTTTGTGCTGTACATGTGAACCATAGAAAGGCTAATTAGTGACAGACAACAGTTTTTAAAAGCCCTGCAAGCACTAAGCACTGGCTCTGTTGGGAGTGTTCCTAGGAGTTGGGTGGTTGCCTATCTGGATGATGCTGCTGCTGGGATTTTTTGCATCAAGATGGTTACAGTAGTGTAGCTCTAGGGTAAAAATACATCCTGCAGCAAAGGCATGAGAGTGTAACTGAAGGTTCACCCTGGCTTCAAACTGTGGCAAGTTATTTTGTTTATTAGTGTGGAACATTTTGGTTGTGTTTTCAAAGATGTAAAACTAAAGCAGTTTTTAAGTACTTCCAGGGTGGGATGTGAGGTTTGGCTTTGGGGCACGACTAGCCAAGGGCAAGGGTTTTTCTTCTCAATATTACACCAATGCTTCACATCCTCCTTAAAACTGGCTGGGGTGAGGTGTCTCTGGCTTTGACTCTCTTTCTCTAGCATGGAGCAGATTATTACTATTATTATTGATTTATGCCATGCCTGTCTGCTTCCAGCCTCAAAACACTTTACTGAGTTACAATATACATAGGAATCATTTCACGTCAGCCACCACCACGCTGCAGCCTTCTCTGGAGGGAAACTGAAGGGAGCTATTAGGATGGTGCCTGCAACATTAAACAACAATCCAGGAGAGGAAGTAAAGAATACTCTGGCTCCTTAAAGCAATGGTTCAACAAAATGCAGTCACTGAACTGCCATCCAGCTGGGACACCAAAGTCAATACCCATTCACCGTGTGTGGTTAAAATTAAATCTCCTAATGAAGTGAGATGGTTTTAGTGGTTAGAGAGTGAGTGCAAAGTATTATTCTCCTATATTATTATTTGTAAGTTATACAACTAACAAGGGAAAAGATCATACACAGGAAAATAGCAGACAGTTAGATAATGTTCCAAGCCCAGTTTCTAAATGACATTTGGGCAAATAAAGCTTTGGAAAAAATATGTTAAAAAGAAAAGATGACACAGAAAAAAAAGGAATTGGCAGTTTCTCTCTGTTTTTAGGTAACTAAACTGAACAGAAGTGATGTCAGCTTTTTATCCCCTATAATTCAGGTCTGGAGAAAAGAATATTATTAGCTTCTGTTAATGAGCAGGTATTCCCTAAACAGTACTGCAAATGCTCCTGAATTTTAATTTTATTAGAAAAAGAAATGGTAAAGTATTGGGGGGAAAAACCCCTAACAGCTTATATTTGTCCCTGAATTAACAAAATGCTTAGATGATTTTCTGGATAGAAGGTTTATGTATCTGACTAAAAAGATCCTCACACAACGTTCTCAAGCTCTCCTTTCAGGGCTAGTAATTGCTAGCTGGTTCTAATCATTCTTGCAAATGATCATTTGAAAGGTTTATTTTATGACCCCTCAAACTAGCACAAAGAATCTCACTCCATAATGTAATAAACAATTCTACAACCAGTGCTTAATTAATTCCCGAAAGTCACCAAAAGGAGCTATTAATGATCTTTCTTTTTATCTAACCATAAATATGCAGTTCTCCTGGGATAAAGGATTTAAAAAGAACATTCTGGCAAAACTGGCTGTCAACTTGATAAAGCATAAAGTGATCACCAGTGAGGGGAATTCAAAATACAACAGCAGTGCTGCCTAGTCTGATCAGAAAAGTTAAGCCCAGTTGGGTTAAATTTCTTTGAATGTTACACTTACCAAAATGAGGACAGAACTAACACAGTGCAAAACAGACTCAACACAAGTGAATACACAAAAGAAAACTTCTACAACCTTAAAATTATTTTTAAAAATCATTTCTATTTGGGAATCTGCTTAAGTGGGAAATTATCAACAATCATAATTAGAGGGTGGGCAATATTTCAAGGTTGTTTAAAATACACATATTACACAGAACAGGTTAATGTTTTCAAGAGAGCTTAAGTGTTTTAGAAGTCCAAGTATCGTTTTCACAAGCAAATCAGGCAGTAGGACGCCCTTAAATGAAATTTAGTTTCCTGGCAACCCAACCCATTGCTGAAAATTAGATTTAGGCTTTTAAAGGGCTTTGATGTTTTTGAAAATCACACTTCCTGCAGCACTGCACAGCTGACTAGGTGTAATACGGTCATTTACCCTCTGCTGAGGCTATCAGGGATGGAATCACTTTGATGGCTTTAGTGATGTCTGGGTTGTTGTTGTTTTTTCTTATACCATTAAATTTATTTTACTAGGCATAGCCAGTGATGACTGGAATCTCTGACCAGAAGCAGGGGGAGGAAAGAAAGAGAGAATCTGCCTTTTCCAGAATAAACTAATGTACTCCTTTGGGTGCTTGTGCTTGATGCCAGTGGAGCCTGTGCACCAGCTTGTCCCACCTTCAGAAGAGCTCCATGAGCTACTGGACCCTGGATCGACTGGGGCTTTGTGAATCTCTCCTGTTGAAGCAGTCCCTGTGACACCCACACATGGAAATGTGGAATAGACTGCTCCACAACACAGCCCTTGTTGTTCTTGCTGTCCATATGGAAATCCAAAGTTCAAGCACCTCTCAAATGAGTTCTTAATTATTAAGATAAAGAAACAAACACAACAGGAAACATTAAGAGAGACACAGTGGGGAAATAACTAAGAGGTCTTTCAGGCTCTTCACTCCTTGACTCCCCTGGGCTGGGCAAAGAAATTTAAATCTTTAGATCAGTGCTTTTCAGTCCCTTAACCTGTGGAAGGACACAGACTCCCACTGGAAGATGCAGCAGATTGCTGCACATAACACTGAAGAACACAGTGTTCCAAACACTTTTAAAACCCTGGAAGTTTCTTGAAACAGGAAATTTTAAAATTTCTCATTTTTGTTCTAATCTTCAATAAAACCTTTTTTTTTTTTTTAAATGTTGGAATTTCCTGTGGAACAGAAATTCTGTTTTAAAACCATTTTTATTCAACAGTCCTATTCAGATGGAAGCATTTTCCTATTCATTCCACTTTGCAACTAACTGGTGCCACCCCAAATGTATTGCTCTTCCAAGAATGATGTGGCAGCCTTGGAATAGCTAATTAGTTGGGCTGTATGATGCCTCTGCCAAAAGTTTCAGCTTCCAGAGGCATTCCTTCAAGGAATGGTGATGTGGGTTTGGCATTTACAAGGATACACATGGTTTGAGGAGCCCACAGGCACCAAAAGTTAGCTTGTATTTTATAACTGCTCATCTCAACCCAGTCATTGAGCCGATGTCCTAACCACAGTAAGTCAAGCAAACTTCTTTAAAGCACTCATGAAGAAAGATTTTGGTTAATTTATTTTTCTTTTTTAAAGAAAATTTTGTCTTTGGGGAATCTTTTAAGAGAACGCCTCTTCTATGTCTGTTAAGTAGGAAAATAATTAAATTCAAATATTACTAGCTCTGTAATATAATCGCTTGTAGATAAGTAACTTTGACACTTAGCCCCTACATTTTCGTACATTGTTAAGGCAAGTGAAAGATGTCTAAATCCAGTACCTTTATACTTGGTCACCACAGCTGAGTTGACACTCAGAGGTTCTTGGAAGGTGACAGTGAGTGATGTACTGCTTGTTACCATGAGACAGACATTGGTTGGCGCCTCAGGGGCTCCTGGGAGAGAAGAGAAAACATCAGCTCTTCAGCACAACAAATCCTATTCAAACAATGTTTCTGAGTCTTCAAAGACCCTACTGAAAATCACACTGCAATTGTGAGCTTTGGGTTGTAGGTGTTTGTGTTCTCTGCCTTTTGAGCATTTTAATTAGTACCCCTGCTAACAATATCCTGCAGACACCATTTGTTTCTATCATGCTTTTTGGCTCCTTTCGGTTAAAAATATCTTCCTGCATATATGTAACCCAATAAAACAGATTCATGCTAATTATGTCAATGAAAAGCCCCTATAAATCTCTTGGGGTGGGTAGGAGGAGAGAGAAAGGACAAAACCACAAAGAGCTAATTAAAGCTTTATGGTTTCACTAACAAACTCAAATTTATCAAATAATAGGAAGCATGTTTACATTATTGTGATTCAGAAATTCCACAAATATTTTAGTGTAGTAGTCTCCAAATACTACTATTAGTCAGTTCAGGTCTAACTTTTTTTTTTTCCTTAAAAAAAAAGTTAAATTCACAGAATATCAATCAAACTCAATTCAGAACTCAAACACAAAATGTCATGGCTTATTGCTGGGGTTAATTTTTAAAAAATCATTATATTAACAAACACTACTGCTGTATTTCCTGTATTTAGTATCTCATACAAGGAGCACTACGTCTGTCTTGAAGGAGTAATCTTAGAATACAATAAATTTGAGAAAATTATTTTTAAATGCCTTTATGAAAAGATGGTTGTAAAATTGTTAAAGGCAATGACTCTATTTCATCAAATAGGATACAGCTAGAAGTTCTACATGTGAAGCAATTCAGCCTTGTTTACTCCTTCCCACAGGCCCAAATTTGCTTTGGGTACAGACTCACTTGTACAACCCTTTGAAACGATCCAATCTGTGACTACATTGATGAAATATTATATGTGGGTGCCAAAAGGAAGATTAAGTTACACATTTTTTAGAAGTAAAATTACATCCCATTGTTTGATCAAATGTTTAGAACAATTCCATTCTTCTAAAATAGAATACTTTTTAAAAAATTAAAATTAAAACACAACAGAAAAGAGGCCAATGTCTCCCATCCTTCTTCCTCCTTATTCATATATTTTTTTTCTAATCATCCTACTTTAAATGTTGTGCACATTAAATGAAATCAAGGAGTAAATTTGAAGAGAAATAAGCAGGATGGAATCATTAGATGCTGAACCAATAAATTGGAGGTCTCATCAGCTCTATGCAGCCCATTCCTAGAGGAGCTGTGTTCTTGTTGCTCTCAGATAATTGGTCCTCTACCATTCTAATGTCAATTTCCTTCTCATTCTTGGGAAGGCCATTTAGTTGTATGTTAGGCTTTTCCCACCCTAACGTTCACCTGCTGCACAGCAGTGCAGTGAGGATCAGTTAGTGAGAGCATCTTTGCTCAGCAAAATGTTCTCAGTTGTAGAGTTCTTGTCTTGCACTTTGCAGCTGCTTTCTTGTACTTACTAGCATGCTCGTAGCCTGCCTTCATGCGCTTGTACAGCCTGGACCTCCACTCCCACGCTTTCAGCTGCTTCTCCTTCTCTGTGTGCTCTGTTCCAAGGCCCTCATTCAGCACTTGTGCAGACAGTTCAGTAACTCGCTGCTCTGCTTCCTGCACCAAAGTACTCAGGTGCACTGACCTGCTTTCCGTGTCAACAACTACCAAGAAAGGGAAGAGTAAGTAATTGCTTGGTGGACTTATGTGACAAAATTCTGGCCATATGCATTCTGGTACAACACATATAAGGTCAGTCCTTGAACACTCTGCCTTCCAGTAGTTACCTCCCCATCGAGTGGATTAGACCGTGCTGACTTACACCACTGAAGGATCTGGCCACTTAAATGGCATTAATGACATGAATAGACTGAGCAAATTTGGTCTTCCAATGTTTCTCATATGCTTAAAAAGAGTCTTAATTAGACTGAAATTGCATATTAAACCCAAATTAAAATAACAATGTATTTGGTTTCTCTCCAACCCCCACTTTACTATAGTATCATAAGCTTTCACAGAAATAAAGAAGGTTGTACTGGTTATAAGCGCATAAAATATATATAAATCTCTACAAGTGACAAGAGATCTAATTAGCAAGCTTAAGAATGAGAGGGTTTTTTGTCTATGGGCCACAGCTGATACAGAATAGATCTCCTTCTTGGTTTTCTTTCTGCCACAGTTTTGCCCATGTAATATCTAGTTAGTCCTCTGACAGACTGGAAAGTGAGCAAGCAGCTTGACACGTGGAGATTTTCTTTTTCTTTAATGCTCAGAAAAATTATAATCTGACATTCAGCAGTTCAGATTGCCTGTATGAACTCCTGTGGGCTACAGAAAGGTGGAAATGAAGATTGCATAGGTTTCAGACTAAAAGGGGTTCCATTGTAGCCCAAGTCCAGAAGACTACCCTAAACCAGTGCCTTGAGTATAAAGTGCAATGTGGTGAATTGAGCCCTATTTTCAGAAATGCTCAGCCTGAAACTGTTCAAATATTTGCAGTTTGGAAAATAGGACTTGTGAAGGTGTTTAATCAGAAAAGAAATAATAAAACAGAAAATAACTTTTCTCTGGTGTCTGGTATTTTTGCAGAAGATCTCTGAGTTAATCTTAATTTAAAAGGCCCGTGTTTACTAGAAACACTGTCCTGGCCTAAGCAGCTTATGCATTACTCTTAGCAGTGATGGGGAATTGGTATGTAGGGGCAGCCAGGCTCTCGGTTTCTCTGATTTTTTTACAGGAACAGCTTGAATCTGGCACAGGATGCACCAATCATTCACTTGCATAAACCAAGAGCAGTAGACCTTCCTGAAAATGTCAGTGTGTACTATATAAAAGATCTAGACTCTGACAAGTTTTTGACATCAAAACACTACATGAGCAAAGATGTCTGCACATATGAATGTGTTATTCCTAAACTGGAATCATAACATCATGGGACAAATCAAGTTGGAAAGGACCTTCTCTGGTCTAACCTTCTTGTTCTAAACAGGGTCAGCTTTGAGGTCCGATCAAGTTACTGATGGCATTACCCAGTCTGATCTTGAAAACTGCCCAGGATGGAGTCTTTACAACAACTCCAGGCAAACCTGTTCCACTGCTTCACTGTCCTTATGGTGAAAAAGGTGTTTGTTTTATCCAGTCTGAACCTCTCATTTTAACTTTTACCCTCTGTCTCTGATAACAATAGCACAATTGAAGTTTAGCAGAGTCTAAGAATAAAATAATGCTACATGCTACCGTGAAAAGTGCCATGGGATTTTTAAAGCCAGAGGAGGAGAGCAAAGAATTACTCAATACCTCTGACATCCAAAAGGTTGTCTTTGAAGAATGTTTGTCTCTAAGACTTTGTTTTCAGAAGCTGGCTTGAAGCCATGCTTCCTGAAGTTTGATCATTCTTCATATGGACATCAGGCATATGGCCAAGCTTACTGGAATCTGCTGGTATCCTCAGAACTACGTGTTTACTGGGAGGCCAAAGGTGATATGGTTTCCTGGATCCATGCCTACAATAAGCATGCAACAGATCTGATAGCACAACAGGAATCAGGAAGGAGATTTTATGTGCCAGAACTTCAGGTGATTGAGAACTGGCATTGGTTCAAGTTCTCACTAAGGACCCGGCTCTGTTTAATCAACATTCTGATCCACAATTGTCAGATCTTGGAATCATGTCCAATCAGCCACTGGAAATTTTAATCTTATTTTTATTTGGGTTCACATGAACAAGCCAAGCCAAACCATGAGTATGTGATGAATAAGAGTAACTGAACAGATAAAACAGTGGACTTTGCCTCTTCTCCAACTAAATTAATATTTTAAGTGCTGTACTCTCTGATCTTTCTTCCTTTGTGTTGAGAAGATGTTGAGTTCCTGTTAAGATTTATACAAACTGAGCTCCATGTGGAAATGAAGATCATAGTTTTACTTTCTCTTGCTTTATCTGCTGTTGTTCCTATTCCAGGCAGAAATCCAGATGATAGAGATGGAAGCTATTTGTCCTCCAGATTCTCTTTTCTACAGCATTAGGTTAGGGGCTATAATGAGATTTCAGCTGGATCACTACAGATAATGCAGTGCAAGGGCAAGAGTTTTCTCTGTAGGAAGCTTTCTGTATGCATTTGGAATGGGAAATTCCTCAGTCTTGCAGTCTCCCAGATCTGTCCATCTGTGCTATACGCTTCCAGATTAAAAGCTGCTTGTGTCCTGTCCCAAAACTGGGATGAGTCAGAATTTTACCTTGAAATTCCCCCCCTTCCTACTCAGCCTGAGGAAGTCTTGCTCAACTGCCCACCATAATGAAATGAAAATGCTCCTGCTGGGTGCTGGATCATGTTCTTGCAGCCCTGAGATGATGCAAACAGAATGGATTTCATTCTAAGAGGGTTGGTTAAGTACAGAAAGCAAAGCAGAAAGACTAGAGAAAATAGAATGTGACTGCTATCAGTTCCAGCAGAATGAAGCTACATACAGAGATGCTGTGAAGCTTTGTTTTGAGTGCTGAAAATAACTTCTTGCATTTTGCTATCAAGTAGCAATGGTAAACCCTCAAGGTAAAAAAAAGCAAAACAAACAATCGTTTGCTTTTTACAGAGAATGCATCATCCATTATTTCAATCAGAAAAACTGAAAATCAAGATAAGTGAAGTGGAAATTTGGTGGGTATATTTTGAAATGGAAATGAGGTGGTTATATATTCATATTCTCTGTGTTCATAGGCATGTTTGCATTAATTACAGGAAATGAATACTAATTTATGATTGCCCCTGCTCGCCATCAGACTGCATTTATTTACAGATGAGGTCAATGAAAAATTAGTTTAGTCTTTTTTACTGCTGTTTAGAACACTCAAGACTGTGTTTTCCTCTAGATTTGTCATGGTTAATGAATGTTTCTTCAGCAGTCAATCATGTACTCTAAATGCTGTCACACTTTTTTTTAAAGCCTCAGTCATGCACCATGACAGAAAAATAAACAAATAAATATAAAACTAAAAAACTCTTTTCACTGAGCAGCTACACTATGCAAAAATCTCCAGGGAAGGTTAAAGGAGGCCAGAATAAATGATAATATAAGTGCTGTGGACATAGAAAAGCAATAAAGGTGTACCAACACTGAGGGTCTGGCAAAAAAACTCAACACACACACGCACACGCACACACACTCTCCAGTGAAAAAACTGGCAATGTTAGTAGCCTCAAGGTGCAATTTCCTGGAGCACGGAGATTGACATGCCAGCACTAAATGTTGTTAATTTAACTAACTTCAAATTAATGGCAGAGTCTGCAGTGGCCGAACCCCTCAAACACAGTCTCATTATAGCCTTGCTGGGAATGTCCTAAATATAGGCATTGACAGTTTGAAACAAATTCACATACATTGGTGTATTTTTAGACACGAGTAAGGCGTCAGAGTTTGTGTCATGGTATACGGTTGATTAATTGGGTTGGTAAGTCACCCTCCAACCACAAATTGTGCATAAAAATGCTCATGAAGGAATACAAAGGAGGTTTATAACTACAATATGTAGTTATAAGCAGTATTGGTATTCTAATAAAGTGAGAAGGTTTGTTTTGAGTTTAGATCTTCTCTGGTTCTGTAGAACTTTGAAATTCTCATTTTGAAATTCTCAAAGTGGGATTTTAGGCCATTTGAAGGCTAGGAGTGAGGAGTCTGTGGGTAATGGAAATGATAGACTTCAACAGAACTTGTCTCCTGAAGATGGTATGGCCAAAATCAAAAGGATAATCAAAATAAACTGAAGTCTAGACAAACCCTCCTCCTCTCATTTTCGATGACAAGCTCTGTATTTCACACCATGATCTTTGAATCACTCACTTGGTTCCTGTTTCCAAATTTTTAAAGATTTTTTTTTCTCAGTATTAACTCATCTGCCCCAGTGTTAATCCCATTAGAACATAATAGACATAGAGAACAAAAAAGACCTACTGAGCACACATTCAGCAAGCAGATATTGCTGCAAGTGTCCCCTAGCCTTGTGGCACTATTGCTGGCATAATTATCTTTATGATAAAAGCAGTAAACTTCTGTGTTGTATGTAAATGTAAATAATTTCCAAAAATAGCAGTGAACTTCATCTCCTACACACAGTTATCTAAGCCAACTCAATTTCTGTTCTTTACTTACAGTGTGGGCTTTCCTTTGCCCCAACATGCAGAAGGGTCCTAGCGATAGGAACGTTGTTTGTCAAAATGGCAATATCCAAAGGAGTTAGTCCCTCACTGTTTGGTGTGTTCAGGTCCAGTTCCTCCAGTGTGTATTGATAAAGAAGAATCTGAACAGCATCCAGATCTTGCTGTTCTACAGCCTCAAACATAGCTTCATTGCACTGGAAATTCTGTGTGTCAATAGAAACAGAAATTCAGTAAAACTTTTCAAATGTCACGGTTTTGAAAATAAATCGAGAAAATTTGTGTTTTGTGAAGTCGCTGTAAAACACTGACCCTCCAGCCACAGCTCAGATTCAGCTAAAAACATGGAAATTGTTTGCTGCAAAACTGAGTTTGTCTGTTTCTGGACTTGTGTGCTTGGAATTGCCTCAGGGCTGTGGGAAGATTCAAATGAGATCCAAACCCATACAAAATGAACCCATATTCATTTACACATCTGTCCTGTAATCAAACTATATAACCAATATTTTGCATTTTCAGTGTGAAACTGAAAGGCTGATTTTGGCAGAGTTTTGGATTACTGAGTTTTTCAAACTCAAAATTTAAAGTAAAAATCTACGAGCTCAGACAATCAGAATCCAAATGGCACAAACAACTCTGGAGGAAAAACCTTCACAGCTCCAGAGTGAGCGAATAATAGGTACTGTTCATTCAAACACTTCAGTCATTTCTAGATGCTTATATTTTTGCATTTAACTTGTAACTAGAAACAGCTTTGAACTGTATAGTCCTGAAATAAAGAAGAAGAAATGAGATTGAAAAACCTGACTGTCCAGCATGCATGTCCAGAAGGTGATGTGCCTGCACAGCAGAGAACACAAGCAGTCAAACCCAACATACTGACTCTCAAGCAGGGAGAACCACTGAACCTTTTCCTTACCAATGTCAAGCAGATAGAAGAATGGTACAACACAAAGAAACTTAGAGTTTCTTAATGAAGCTGGGGAGAATCAGGTGCAGGAGAGTAGCATGCCTGCAGCTTTCTGTTATGAGAACATCCTTCTGGAGCCTACAGTAATGACACGTTATTTGGCAAGATTCTTTAAATTCTCTCCCAGTGTCCCATTGCCATAATTACCCAATAGTTTTTTTGTTTTCCACTTAAGGATGAATTAGTAGAAGCAAAAGGCCCAGCTAAGCAAGGCAGGCTCAGCACGTGGTCACATAAAGGAACCAAGATCTACGTAGATATATTGTGCCAAAGGGCATACAGAAGAAATACACAGAAAAGAGAGCAAGTGATCCAGATACCTGAAGTAAGCTCGCTTCCTGTGTCCTGCAACCCACATGGAGGAAACAGGAAATTCTTATATAATAATGTATTTTTTATGATGTGAATTAAATATTGACTTGAAGCTGCCTTCTGCTGTGATTAGAAATTAACATTTCAGCCACATCGAAACTTCATTTTCTTTTTAGAATCGATGGAGTTTTATCTGGCATATCCATGTCCCAGCTTTGCTCTCAGTGAAACAATGCTTTCTGAAAGAGCATTGATGTGCTGGAATATCTTTTGTCTTCTGCTAAAATGCATACACTAGTGGCTTGCAAGCAGTTCTGAGAACTAGAGTCCACAGCTGCACCTTGGAATTTAGTAATTTCTACAGTGTTTTTCAGCTGCGCTTTAATTTAAAAGTGTCTTCAGAAATTCTCAAGCCTGGCAGAGATTTTCCAGTCCACTGTTTTGTATTTGAAGTATTGGTGCCACACTAAGAAATGGCAAAGATGACATTATATTCAAGTTTTAATGTGGACCCTACCTATGCTGAATATTAGGGACCAGCAGAACAAGGAGACAGATTTATGTAAACTGATCTTTATCCAAAATACAGAGAGAGGAGACACATATGTTAGATGACTGTCAAAGGATGAGATGAACTATACAGCAATAAAGCAAACCCAGGAGAGTAGTGCTGTCTTGGGAATGTGCCTTTTAGAGACTTAGGTACAAAAGATAGCTCATGGTGGAGAAATATTTTTTTTCTGTAGATTTCCATGAAGAATAAAAGACACTACTTAAAAAAGTGCTTCATTAAAATGGGTCTCTGTCAAATTCTTGTTTTCAGATCCTACTCTAGATGGTAAGATTCAGGTTCAGTTTCATTATCTAATACTCAATTTGTGCTTCAGTGTTTGGTGTAAGAGAAAAATCTCAGAAAAAGGAACTGTTGAATGGTAAGCAGATAGATTTAGTATTCTTTATCCACCCCTCTGTTCAAGGCAAAAAATCATCTTTAAGGACATATACTGTCATTAGAGAAGGCACATCTCCAGAAAATTTTAGGAAAGGCCAGCATGCATCTCTCTTATTATAAGGTAAAAGTTAAAAATGACAGAGATTTTTACTGCAATGCAGCAATATTTCTTTTTGTTCCAGTAGCTCCACATATCTGCTGTCTTGCTTATGTAACACCTTATCATCCCAAAATCAGAGATATTACTCTTCTTCTGCTGTTTAGCCCCAACCCTGAAGGGATGAAGTGCTCAGGCTAGAAATGAAAATAATTTTAATCGATTGTAATTATGATTTTAATTAATGGCATGATTCTGATTCATGTTCTCTGTTAGCAACTCCCACTCAAATCAATGGTATGCGTTTAACAGCTGTCTGTCACTACACTATGTACTCTAATTTAACATAAACAGATCACTGCTGTTCCACCTAAAGAGAAAAAAAAAGAAGCTGTGCTCCTTTGCTCTTAAAAAACTTCATTATTATGAATGCAGAACTGTGAATGGATAGACTGTTGTTTCATATAAGTTATTAAAAATGCAAAATATATTCACCAATATTCTAAAAAAGCATAAAAAGCATTCATTTCATCACAGTTTATGCTTCAAATTATTTTGGAACTGATTTTGGAACTCCCTCTATACTGTTGTTTATGGAAATAAAGTGTATCTATGCTTCAAAAGCATCTGCATTTTGATCCAGTCAGAAAGCAAGCAAAACCATATTACTCTTGTATCTGATCACAGCTAGGAAAATCTCCTTATTTAAGAGTAAATTCATAAAGAGCTTACTAAAAAGGGAATTGGTTGAAGTAAACTGAATGACTGTATTAGTTTTAATTTCTTTTAGTTATGTTAATTCTGGGAAACACTGACTAACAGTTTGAGAGCAGGACAAAAAGGTACAGCTGATGATATTACTGAGCTCACTTAAGACAGGGACCAAGGCATTTCTCAGGTCATGCTTCCACTGGGTACATACGTGGTTCCCACCTTTACTGAAATCAAAACAGTCATTCTATTTTAATTGACTTCATGTATGTGCATAGCAGCTAAATGTGGTAACATCTGTAGAGTGCTACCCTAAGTGCTCAATACCTTTTTTTGATTCCAATTACATGTGAAACTCAATAAATCTTGCACTGCATTTCAGGAGTTTCTTGTATTATATAAAAACAAACAAACAAAAAAACCCACCTTGTTACATAATAATAAAAAAACATGGCTAACTTCAGTATTACAGCTGAAATCAATCCAATGATATGGCTGACAAAAGCACTTGACCTTTTTCTAATATATACACACACACTTTACAACAAATTCTACCTACCTGAATGATTATTGTAGTATTATTTTTAAAACTTTGATTTGAATTATTATTTTTGGATTCAGTTATCAAGATTTAGACCTGCTTAGATGCCTTTGAAAATGCATCAGTGGATTTTTAAAAAGTATTTGTGAAATTTTGGCTTTAGGTTGCTGAACAGAATCTGAGCACATGATTAAGTAAATTCCTCATAAATGCTCTTGACAGCTAATTTGTTGGCAAAAATGTTTCACCAAAAGGGAACAAAAAAAAGCAAATTTCTATTTCTTTATTTTATTAGAAATCTAATTGAAGAAGCTGCACTGATCTAAACAAGAAACAAAGCATGAATTTTATAAGCTGCTTCATCCAATCCAAACAATTATGAGACCAAATTGCAAATATCAGGTTTTCCAAATGAACAATTCAGACACAAGCAATAGGCTGAAATATGTTGGCAAGTCTTGTAACTTCAAAGAGCATAAAAACATGGGAACTGTGATATGGCCTTTCTAACTGGCCATGTGTGCATCCCTTGGCCGTGTAGCAGTCCACGTCTCACCAGGCTCTGTCTGTTTCTGTCAAAAAATGTCCTGGTGAGACAGGAGAAATATCTCCCACATTTTGAGCCATGCCAGTCAATCGCCCCATTTGAAAGTCTGCATTGAGCCCAGTTCTCTAAGTTCAGAAATACATTCTACACATCCAACTTTTCCCCAACAATTTGCTTCCACACAGAGAGCAGAACTGTAATTGAAGATGCTGTAGTTTTCTGCAAAAAGTGGATCATATTCAATGCAAAAGACTCTCTAGTATTGCAGCATTCTTCAGATGTCTGCAGCCCAGGGCTATGAAATTCAAATAGGGGTAGGATGTAGTATCTTTAGAACCATGTGCTCAATTTTTAGTCCAGCTGGTATTGCCAAAAATACTAACAAGAGCTTTCTGATTTCTGCCTTCATTTACATTTACGAGATAACTTTCTTCTGCCCTGAAAAGACAAAACCATCAAATTCAAAGAGAAACTAAACCCCATTTACAAGTAATCAGGTAAAGTTTAGGGGCTGTTTTTACATTGCTTTTCCCTTGACTCAGCCCTGCAGCCTCTAATCACTAGCTAGACAGTTGTGCTAGGTGATTAATTTATTTAGGTGTTACTCTGATGCACAAATGTGTATACTGAAAAGGACTACAGTATTGCTTTGCAGTAAGTAATAACCATGTTCCAGTAAGTGATTCAGTGCTGGAGTGTTTAGAAATGCAATCTTAGGTAGCTTAATTAAAATGAAGTGCCCCTTTCAAGATATTTGCTCTAGGTTTGACTGAAAAAGTCCACTATGTGCTACTGGAGTTGGAAAAAACATTAAAGTAGTTTCTGCAAAGGCTTGTTTTGATAAACATGACTTCAAGAATAAAGCTATTTTGGGACATTGCTATGTCTGCAGCAAGACAACAATTTACTGAATGGAAAGTGTTGCACAGCAAGAGAGAATGGAAAGAAAACTCTTCACTAGCCAAAGCTGAAAGAAAACAAATTCTAATAAATATTGTTCACTTGTCTGGAGACATGGCTTTAGTCATTGACTTAGCTCTGCAGCACAGAAACTCAATGATTAGAAAATATATCAGTGAGGAATTTGACCTGGAGTATTTCCAGCCCTTCACTGGTGGTTTCCTTGCTATTTATTTGTAGGTAAAACTATGAAAACAGCAGACAGCACGGAGAGAATGGGATCCAAAGACTTTTGAGTCCAGTGGGAGTCTATTCACTGACTGTTGTGGACACCAGCTCAGACACCAGACTGGTAACACCTACAGGTGCCTGTGCTCACTGCTGGTCAGCAGTGACAGAAGCTGTGTCACTCCCATGACAGTGTAGTGGGTTGGGGAAAGCAAAGGTAGCACAAGTGTATATCCCATTAAACCACATCCACATCACAATGTAAAATTGAATCTCCTAGTTACAGTTAATGACTGAATAGGCACTCCCACTGCTGGACAGGTCTGGTCTGAAAGGGAAGAATGACATGGGAAGTATGTAGCTCTGTGGGGAGCAGAGGACTGGAGCCTCAGAAGCAGTACACTGCTCCTCAGTCTTTGGGCTATGCTTATTTGCCATTTCACTTCTCATTTGTTAAGTCTGACAGAAGATCCCATATTTGAAGGAATATGTAATTTGAAGTGCATATTTAGAGAAACACTGGTCAGAAGATACACTAACAGACTGGCATTCATACAGCCTACATGTCAGTCTGCTCTGGCATGGGCCCCAGCCCTAGTTTATCCTCCACTCTTTCACTCAGTCATACACAAGCTTGCAATTGAAAGGAAAAAGGTAAGAAAATATAGTTGTTAAAAAATTAATGTGAAGAATCTTTTCCCACAGTTCATACGTAGAAGCCCAAATTCAAATGATCCCTACAAACTGAAAATATCTGGAAACCCACTGCCTCAAAAGCTGTTGGTTACTATGCAAAGGCTGCTTTCCAGATATCAGGTTGTGTTTAAGCTTCAGGCTTCTGCTTCTGGAAAACAAAATCTATTTGCTCTGGCAGAGCTGGGAGGAAGGAGCCATGATCCCCTGCATCCTTCAGGTCATAGTATTTCTTCACAGGAGGAAGACAACCGTCTCTTGACTTTCCAATGCACTAGAGCTACATTCCAGCTTGGCTCTTCCGTGGGGCATGCAGGGGTCCTCTGACTTCAAGAAAGGAGTGTTCCCAGGGGACAGGATCATTGAATTTATTCTAAAATTATTGTTAATTCTTGCATTGATTCTTATATTTTGTCTTATATATAACAAAGCTTTGTGAGCATTAAAGGAATCTAGAGTGTGAATTTTCTTCTGACAAAATGTATCTATTCAGGGCTTCATCCTTCACCGTGCTCAGCATCTGCTATAGTGCAGCAGAGTAATGGTTCCAAGAGGTGTCTCCTGGTGCATTCACAGGCACTGTCATAAATCACTGCTCTTCAGAAGTGAAGAGGAAGTCTTTCCCTCAAAATAATTCAGAGAAGTTGAAGCGTGTATCTGGTCTTCTTACTTGTGGAAAAGGGGAATTTATTTTGTTTTGTCAATATCAGCATCGGGTTCATCTTCCCCCAGCAAATATAAAAGATTCTTGTGTGCACTGAACTTACATTGTGCTATTATTTGAGGGACACAGTGCATTCTTCAAAGTGTACGTGCTGGAGGTTGTGTAACTTCACCAGCACGGGCACAGGAACATTTGTGAGTGTTAAGTCCAGCAGGTGCTTTTATGCTTTCCTGTACTGGCACCAGAGAGCCTGGCAGTGTTCTGTGACTAGGGTGTGATACCCAGGCCAAACTGCTTCATTTGTGATCTCCTTTTCCCATAGACTTATCTAGTGACCATCAGTCTGTGAACAACCTTGCATTTGTCTGTCACAGCATGTAAGTTCCACTTGCTCTGTTGTCTGGAAAAATGGAAACTTCTATTAAATTCTTCAGTTTTCTCAAAGTACTTTTTCTTCATTTCTTGTAAGAGAAAGACTTATGTATATATATTTAATCCACATTTTATCACATTAATGCCAAGTTAAAACCTAACTGCTAAAATAAAGTGTCATTGCTTGAGTAAGGTGGCTTTTCTTTAGCCTTCCAGAAGGTCAGACTTGATTTTCACACAGGATCATAAATAGCAAGACTGGGAAGAGCATACAGCACTGGTCAGGGAACAAAGTGAGAGGATGAAAATTGTACAGAGTAAAAGAAAACCACTTAAGGAGATGTTCTGCCAATGACCAGGCCTAACAGGAACGACACAACCAGCAGGAAGAGAAACCAATACACAGGCTGTATTGTAAGCAAAAACATCGTGACATGAATGACTGCTGGGGGTGCAAACAAGTCAATCAGCTGGTACATAATTGATGCCACCCCCAACGATGCCACAAAAGACATAACTCGGCCCACAACAGGTGGTACAAACAGAGAACCGAGGTTGCCCATAGTTGGCATGGGAAACAGCCAGATCACCAAGTTAAAGGTATAAGAGAAAGGTGCCCACATGGCAACTCTCACCCGATCTGCCCGCGTTCACAAAGGTCTAAACAGACCAGGGCCCAGCTCCAGGGAGTCAGGAGGTCTGCCCTGAACCAGGAAGCTCTGTGGAGTGCACTCCACAGACAGACACTCCTGACTCCCTGCCAGTGGTCCCAGCTTTTATCCCCAAGCAGACACCTGACCTTTGTCAGCTCAATGTGGGACCCCTGGGGCTCATTTCCCTTCTGGCTCTCCCTGCAGGGCCGGCCGCACCCTGGGGGGAAGCTATAAGGCAAACTCACCCCCTCTGGATGAAGGGCTGTGGGAATCACCCATATGTCAACCTTGATTCGGGGCTTGGGGTTCAAACCCCAGCATTTCAGGAGATTAATAGGACAGTGAATTGGCAATGGGATAAATATGCAGTTGTTACCATTGAGGTCTTACGGAGGCTGAGCCGGTCAGAGCGAGCTCTGAAATAGGCTTCGTCAAAGGACGTGTGACTGCCCTTCAGCTTCTCAGAGAGGTTCCGGTAGAGCCGCTTGGCAGCGTTTGGAGAGGATGGCAAGCTGTGCTTTTTAGTCTGCAGGAGACTCAAGTTATGCATTTGCTGCGTCATTTTCAGCGAGTAGTTTCTAGAAGAAAAACAACAGCTGGTTAACAAGGTTTTGCTAAACTGACATGGTGGATTAGACTGTTTCATTGAAACACACATTGCAAGACTTCTATGGCAAAAATCACTTTTTTTGAATACTCAGAACCATGTTTTGAGACCGTTTTCATGGCAAATTGCTCTTTATGGAATTAGTCCCATGGATATCTATTGGGATGGAGAATTAAGGGTGGAAAAATAAAGCAGACCACTTCAGGGCTATTTGCTAATACGTATGAGGAGAAGGGGGTTCATTTAATGAGGGAAAGGGGCTCTCGACAGAGTGAGTTCTGCTAATACAGAAGTTAGAAAAAATGACAGCCAAATGTAAATGTCACCATACAATTTGGATAACGTACACAGTCTGCATTTTGTCAGCACACTGGTTTCTTAAAACAAAACTGGAGCAATTCAGAGGAAAAACATATCTAACATAATAGCACACGATGCAGGACTGAACTTTTTAACTGGTCAAATGACTTAAGTTTGACACGAGCACAACTGTGGCAAGACGTGCTTTATTTCCCATGCTACTGTCTGCTACCAAACTGTGTGCTCCAAAAGCATGTGACTTTTTCACTCGGGTAGGTGGATTAATCAAAAGCAGCAATTCTCTGCTTGGGAAGTATGGCTTGATCCAAAATACTTTTTCACCTCTGAACCTATCGCAAGCTACTACAGAATTAATGTATAAACATATTTAATTTGCATCAAATGCTGACATCATCCAAATGAAAGTCCATTGCTACAGAGAATATTCTTCTGCTAGAGTTTTGAGGAGCATTTGGCAGGAAGGGAACCTGCTCTGTGACCAAGACTCCTAAGGCATTATGTTTTAGCAAATAACAGCTGAAGCACAGAAAATCCACTCACACCCTGTGGTAGGCATAGTGAGGCATGTATGCTTCCTTAGTTTAAACTATGTATGGCCAGCTAGTGTCCAGGTTACTGAAAACAAAGAACTCAGACTCTATGTTTTACAGTTAAAATAACTCATGATTCTAACTGTTGCTGTTCACACTTTCATACTGAGTAGTTTCTTCCCTCAGTTAGTGGTTAGGCACTGGCTTTGTCTATCTAATGTATAACTTTATCCTGCTCTGTGTTTGCCCTGTCCATGCAGACTACAAACTCTTCCAAGAAGGACTGTCTCCTCTCTCTAAGACTGCCTAGCCTAATCGGATTTCCATATTATCTCATAATTAAAAAATACTTTCTGTGCTCTCTGATTACAGTAATTTTTCCATATTAGGAAAAAATGAATTACTATTTAATTCTCTGGAAATACTTTATGTGGGAATAGTTTTGCCTTTCTGAAGGGAAACTAAGAATCAGATTTGACCCAACTGCAAGCACAGGAAACTATCCCCAGGGATCTCTGTAAGTGAAAAGGTGATGAAAACACACAATTTCTTCACATTTCCTTTTTCCCTGCCAGGAGTGTGTACACATTTATAAGACAGAATGTCTCTCTAGAAGACCTCACAGTTGTACCAGTAAATCTGGCTACCCTTTCAGATGATCTTTTCCTGGAAATAAGCCTTACATTCTTTGTACTGTGATACAAATCCTGTAACTTTCTGTTCTTATGGTCTCAGCCTGCATCTAAGGAAATCAAACTGCAGGACCAGACCCTAATAACTATTTACAGTCATAAAAGCATTCTTTACTAAACACTCACACTGCTGTTGAGGCTGCTCATTGACATGAATTGGTCCCTAAGATGAAAGACACCACCCAGGTCTCATAAGCTGTCTACATCTTCCTTTCTCATGTATAAATTGTGATGAAGCAGACATCCTGAGCACAAAGGTTTGTGCTGATTATAAGTAATCTCACATATTGTCAAGATCACAGGGTATGGAGGAAAGAACAAGTGTCTGAATGAAGAGAGACAGAATCAATATAATTGTCATATGTGACAAAAAGACTTTGTTAAATTAGAACAACACTGTGTGTGATCAGAAGGAGGGAATTATGTGAGCTGAATCCCTGAAATGAACATGCAAGAGTGGAAATGATAAGAAATGAGCTCTCTGGGACTCCGGGAGTGATAGCACTACAATGATTTTGGACTTCTTTATCATTATTCTGTAAGTTCAAGGAAAGTGAGGCTCACACAAACAATCCATCCTGCCTTTTAATTATTACACGAATTTCAGCAGTGCCTACAAGGGCTAACTGAAATCACTGTCTCTTCAAATAGAGCATTTTATTCTCTGCCCCAAACAGCAAGCTTGCACAGACTAGATAGAAAGGCTGAGTGGAAACCAAGGAATGTAGCAAAATATATTTAATCAAAGTTTCTGTCACGAGAAGTTGCTTGTTAATGTCAGACTAGAGCATAACACTAAAATTATGACCACCAATGCCAACTCACAAATGTTCCAGACACACCAGAACTATTTGGAACCATGTGCTGGAATCAGCGTGGGTGAGGCTTTACTGTATGGAAGTTGCTGGTAAGTGTTGGGTTTTAATATTGGACAAACTTAGAAGACAGCCTTTTGTTTTAGAGATGTATCTGTGGAACCATTTGGGAGTATAAACATGAAATAAAATTCTTGTCAAGATGGTCAAAAGATTGCATTCACATCTGTCTCCATTTAGCATAGCTTCAGCAGTTCAGTTTATTTTCAGATTTTTATTAAAAATAAGCTTAAGAAATAGCCAATTATCCCCAAAGCTGATTACCCATCTTCCACTGTTCCATGTTATTAGTATTTTAAAGAAACTCAGAGATTTACCAAATACAATAAAAAAATTGATTTCTTAGAGTAACACTTCTACAGCTTTTATTAGTAGTGGAGATATTCAAAACTTGCCTGAATGCCCGTGCATCCTGCCTTGGTGAACCTGCTTTAGCAGCAGGGTTGGACTAGATGGTCTCCAGAGGTTCCTTCCAACCTCCACCATTCTGTGATTCTGTGATATAGAGCTACAGATTATCCCACATAAATTTCTCCTCTTACCTCCATTTTCAAGAATTTCTTCATTGATAAAGTATGGGTCAAGAAACAGTCCCAGATGGCGGAAAAAAATAGGCCAATAAATGTCATAGGCATATTTGTAAAGCAAGTTTCCATTTCCCTAAATCATTTGGTTCCAAGAGTACAGTCACTGAATACCAAATACCACACGGTTATTAGTAAGCTCTAGAGAGACAGAACCATTTGCATTCACCACACAAGCCTAAATATCATCAAGACAAGGACAAAACAGAACGGTAGACTCATCTAATACTTAATTCAAAGGTACCTTAGAGCTTAGCATGTTCCATGGTGTTTGCCTGAGGATTATGTTTTTTATAAGAAAACCAACAGGCTCAGCCCCTCTGAGCAGCACAACATTACGCTATGGAGAGACTCCAAGCTCCAGTAAGCCTGTATACCAACAGGGAAACTTACTGAGAAGCTGTGTAGACATTAATAAGTTTACATTAAATAACTTAGGCATAAGTAATTAGTAGGTCTTCTCATATTGTGGTATTATTAAAACCAAAAAGGAATAGGTGTTCTTAAAGCTATCATGGCTTATGCCTTTATCAGTCCTCCCGAGGCTGATGAAGTCCTCCCTCCATCCCACCAACAAACTACCAGCTTGTCCCTAAGTTATCTGTGGAGAGGACAGCCACTAAAGAAGAGCTGATCTTGGCTGGAAATTTTTGGTGTTAATGTGAAGAGGCACTTATTTATATTTAAAGTCATGCTTATAGAAGCTGTAATGCTTCTAGTTCATAGGGTTAGTATTGTGCCAATGCTCTTGAGGATTAAAATAGTTACTTAAAAAGGAATTTTGCTATCCTGATTCCTAAAAAACCCAGTCTCTTCTCCAGCCTTTATTAATGCAGGAAGTGTATTTGTATCCGTCTCCTTAAATTCTGTTGCCCAAATGTCTTTCACAGAATGTCTTGAAAGTTATCAAATTCAAGCTTTTCTTGAGAAGCAGAGAAACAATTTTCAGAATCCAATTTTTTTTGTACAGAAAATAGCTTGGAAGCAATTTTCTTTTCTTAGGACACAGTAACCTGAGTAAGTAAAGAAGAAGCACCTCTCATTTTTTTAACATTTTTTCCAGGAAATCTGAGGGTTTGGTAGAGGTGTTCTACACACACATCAAAATTCAGTTTGCAAGTCAGTTCTCTCTGCTTCAGTATCTACACTTTAAAAAGAAACTAGGTTCTCTAAGTATGTTAGACCAATCTAGGATGCTCCTGTAGTGTCAGGACCAAAGGAAATTTAGGTATCATTGGGCTGCTAGCCTATGTCTCCAATGCGGAAAAGCCCAGCAGCAGTTTGATACCAAGTCTGCTCAGGCCTGTTCCCCGTGGCACGGGTTCATATTGTATGTACCTAAATACAGTTTGACTCCAGCTATCACGATTCCTAGGGGTGGCTGGACCCACCTTGATCTGGTCAATGAAACAGGATTTATACATTCAGAAATAAAACAATAGTGTGTTACTAGTGGTCTAAATGATGACTTGCAAGGACAGTAACAATAGGATGTCCATATTATGCATGGAAGCTTTTTCACTACACAGCCAGAGCAGATCCCCACGTGTAAGAAGAGGACAGAATCTTTCATAATCTCATGAAAGTTTCTCTGAAATCAAGAGCAGGTAAGTCTATAGAGAAGCTAAGGAAGCGCTGTAAAAGTTGCAGCTATTCAACAATACAACAGATGGCATCTTAGCTATCCACACAGAATCAATGCATCACGAGTGACTGGAAGCATGCAAATGTGTACAACAAGAAATAAGGACAACACACAGTTCAATTCACATGATTCTGTGCTTGAAAACTTACTGGGTTTTATTGGATGTTGGCATTTTATTTTTACAGGCAAACTATTTTGTAAAAGCAGTTTTAGGCTCATTTTTTACAGTCATTCATTTTGGGTTGTTTACAACCATGTCCTCACCTCAGTGATCAGGTGAAACTGAAATGTGCACTGTCTTGAATGGAATAACAAACCCCCCAACCAAGGTGCCCTTAGCCTGAGGATGGCAGTCACAACTAAAACTGTTACAGTACACCAAAGACTAACAGTTTAGAAACCTGTGATGTCCAGACTGACCCATTTGAGGTTTTTGCCTGTGGAAGCCTCTGCACATAGATAGCATAGGTCAGAATGAGATCATAATGATAATTTCAATGTGGTTCGGAGCGGCCCTGTGTGATCTGACTAACGAGCATTCTCCCAGCACGTCCAGAACTACAACAAGCAGCAGGTACAAGGTTTCTCAACAAAAGGCAGAACTAGACAGAATAACAACAGCAGCTCCCCTTATAACTAGTCCTAATTAACAGTAGTTTGCATTTCCAAGGATAAAAACCCACAAACCGAAAGTCTTTTGGCAGTTCTCTGTGGGAACAGTCACTGCACTACCCTGGGCACAACCACCAAGCCAGTCTTGTTTGTGTTACTATCACCTTACTACAGCACGTAACACACCAGTTGCTGAAATCTCCCAACACACATTTCATTTCATGCTGCACATACTGTAGCTTAATCTTTGTGATAAGATTTCTATTTGCACTTTTAAGCACTGAAGTAACCATTTTATTCCTCAACAGCAGGGTGCTTTAAAAGTCAAATACAAATAAATAGAAATTAATTAGCCTTATAAAAGCTTTATTTCCCCCTTCTTTTTTGATTGGCAAATACTGACATAATATTCAGGTCATTTCAAAAACACATTGCAGAGAGAGAGAAGAAAAATATCTAAATCATTGTCTGCTCTATGTGGCACATACATGCAGCACTATATAGACAGGTGCACTGCCTATAGGGACAGCAGAACACAGCATAGCTGTAAAAGCATTAACTTCAGATTTTAGGAAAACACAACAGCCAAGAAACCACTCAATGCTACACATGTTCTTAAATATGCTTAAGAAGTAATTTTATACTTGAAAGTAATAATTAAGCATACATGCATTGAAGAGTTAAATTTGACTTACCAGCTCAGGCTATCCAAGGCAAAAGGTGAACAAGTGGCTGGTAATTGTCCACTGTCTTCATTCAATGAATCACATTGGCTTTGCTGTCTCTGCTGCTTCAGCCTCTGGCCAGAATGAGTAAATCTCTTCCTTATACTGCATGAATGATCAGATATGAAAAGGCATATTACTAGCAATTACTGAAGTCCAAGATCACTGATAAGATCTCAGAACAAACCAGTATTTAAAGCAAATAGTATTGTATGTATGACAGGTAAAATGTTGGGTGCCTTAACTCTATACTAGTTACCTGTGCAGCTATATAAATGATTAATAAATGAAGCTCTTGCCTCTGTAGTCAAAGATGCCATGACATCTGTATGCTTTTAGCTTGTTGTATCCCTTAAAACTGATCAGCAGCACAGCATGCAAGTAGAAAAAATAATAACTGCCAGAATAAACAAAACTGTGATTGTCATTAATTTGCCATGAAGTATGAGCAAAAAGACACTAAAGCAGCCATCTTAAAGCAGTTAGTTTTATGTTAAACCAACAAAAGGGGGGGACAGAATCACAGTCCTACACTCTGTCCAGTAATGCATGTTGCATGTGATGTATTGTTTCTCCTTCCTTCCCGCACGCTGTCACTACAGCTGGCTGCAAGCCTAGCAACAAAGCAGCAGCCCGAGCCCTAGCGATGGGACATGGGCAAGATCAGTGGAAAGCTCCCAGCCTGAACAGGTTATGCTTAAAAAGAATTAGTAAATGAATAAGAAAACCATATCTTATTGATGTCTATGTTTCAGCTAAAACAGCTCCTGTAATGTCTGCATTAAGAGCTTCCAAACCAGTAGAACAGTGGCATTTCAAAATATATACATATATTTAACTATAGGGCAAAAAATTCAAATGTTGGATACCACAAAACCCCGCAGAGACGTTTCAAAGTCAGAATATGGAATAATCATACACAAGCTTAGAATTCTGAAAATAGCATAGGCGATAAACAAAGATAAACAACAATGATGGACAAAGATGGTCCACTGGGTTAAGTTCATGTAAGCAGAACACTCCTGGATAACATCTGGCAATAGAAAAGAATTAAACCACACTAATTCCTGGGTCTGTTGTAGCCAATGATTATTAATATCTAGAGAAAATGTATTTTAAATTGTTCTTAAAGAGATACCCGAGGTACAGTTACAATCTTCTGAAAAAAAAAATTCACTGGCTTTATTCAGACATGATGCTTGATTTTTGGAAAATGTTGGAAACCTCCCAAAATCTGGTGGTGAGTCTGATTCTCCTGCCCTTCAAAACTCAGGTAAGAGTCCTGAACCTCATTCCAAACAGTGTTCTTTTACCAAAGTAGCTGAAGCTAAAATATACTCCTAGGCCAAACATTTGTGTTTCATGGGACTTGTACTTATTCTATTCTTTTAAAATCAATCTGAGTATAGACCAAAGCATTTTTTGAGAGATTTTCTATACACACATATGCATGCACATCTATGTGTGTGTATGTAAACATGCATGTGTATATATTTCAAAGACATAACAAGAATATAAAATGCAACTGCAGGTTTTGCTGCAGCAGAGAACTACAAAGCACTGTGACAATACGCCCTGCACAGTGTTCCTTCTCCTGCCCCATGAAAGTCACAGGCTGGACGTGTGCAGATTACCCTCTGTTGTTCTGCTGCTCCTGAGGATCATTAGTCAGAAGGCTGCAGGACAGCTGACTGAGGTCACTGCTCCTTGCCAACAGGAGGAAGATTGGAAAGCTTTCGAAAACCACCAAATACCTCTCTAACACTGGGATAACTATCTGGAAAAAAAAGCAAGCTGAAAATTGAAAGTGTCTAAATGAGTTAAAATTAAAGGTAAGCGTAAAAATTCCCTTTTCAGTGCTGTGCTGAATGGGGATGATTCTTCTGAGTCCAAATCCCTGATCAAGTTTTTTTTTAGTCTATATAGACCCCATCTATTGAACTCATTTATGAGGGAATTCTGAACTTCCAGCTGTTTTCAGGGCAAAAAGCTTAGATGAGTTTACTAAAACTGGTCTATTCTTAAACATTTTCTAGTAATTTCTTATTGTGGGTCAATACTCCCTCTTCTCTCCTTTGCTTTCTCCCTTTAGCTTGGTGGAAAGTTGTCCTTTTGCAGCTGCCATTGCAATTTTTATAATGCTTAGTACTTCTCTATTGCTATCCAAACATTATTTTGTAGAATAGTAAAAGACAAGATACTGTCTTGCCCAGCCTGGTTCTGTGAAAGTTTGTTTGTATAAAGTAAACCTATTTCTAATGTTCCTGTCATATGAGTTTTACTCTGTTCAAAATCCAGAAGACATAAATCAACATTCAGTAAGGTAAGAGAAGTAATCATAAATTTACCAAATGAAAAAGCATGAAATGAATCCCTAAAAGTGATGAATGAATGTGTGTAAATAATTGTGAGAGGCACCTACATGTAGTTCTGGAAAAGGAGAAGACTCAAAGACCTAGAGAAACCAAAAACCTTGGTTTATGATAAAACACATGCAAGCAGATCTGTTAGTCTGATCTTATGCAGAAGCCTGTATGGTTTTAGCCTTTGATGATTCCATTAGATGGCTCAAAGATGTCAGCCATTTATTATATCACTTGCCTACATTTTGTACTTACTAGTTGAAAAGAATATTTTCTTTTCTGTACTTACACTACTTACTTAACCTATTGCAACAGCATTTCATTCCATGTTTGATCACTCTGTGTTTACCTACCTGCATCATGAGCTGACTCCACAAGCTGCTGTTATTACTATTGCTAAAGCAGCATATTTTTGTGAAGATGTACATTCAGGGGTACGTTTCATTTAAAGAGGCCACCCAAGCTGGCGGAGTAGCTGACAAAACATTTATCCTGTATTGTTCTAGGCATTATACACCACGGATATTTTTAGCTGCCAAGCAGTGCATTATATTGGCCATGAACTCCGTTTAGCAGTCTCTTTGTTGCCCCTGGACACCGGTGGCCCTGCTGGGCCGAGGAGGCCGTGCTCCTGCCCAGGGCGCTGCTCTGCGCGGCTCCCGGGGCAGCCGGTGCCGTTCCGC